ACTTAACCACTATGCCACTAGGCCTGCCCCGAGTCTTTTTTTTTTTTAAGTGAAGTTTAGTGTATTAATAGAGAAACAAGAATCCAGGATCATCGGCTTTGGTTATTGTCAAGAGGCAGTGCAGTGTAGTGGGTAAGAGCATGGACTTGAGCCAGCTGCCTGGGTATGATTCTGGCCCAGCCACTGCCTAACTTTGTGAGTTTGGACAAATCGCTTAATCTCTCCATGCCTCAGTTTCCTTATCTGTAAAAGGGGGATAAAAATAGTACTATCCTTGGGGGCCGGCTCTGTGGCCAAGTGGTTAAGTTTGGCCGCTCCGCTTCAGTGGCCCGGGTTTGGTTCAAGGGCATGGACCTACACCACTTGTTGGCGGCTGTGCTGTGGTGGCGACTCACGTACAAAATAGAGGAAGATTGGCACAGATGTTAGCTCGGGGCTAATCTTCTTCAAGCAAAAAGAGGAAGATTAGCAACAGATGTTAGCTCAGGGTGAATCTTCCTCAAGTAAAAAGAGGAAGATTAGCAACAGATGTTAGCTCAGGGCAAATCTTCCTCAGCGGAAAAAAAAAATAGTACTAACCTCATATAATTGTTAGGAGAATTAAATGAATTTAATAGATTTAAAGCACTTAATACAGTTCCTAACACTTAATAAGTACTGTATAAATGTTAATTGTTATTTTTGTTATTAAGTGAACAGCGTTATCTATTGAGAAAATTCTTTATACCTAGAGTTAGGTGTAAAATCTGCCATTTGATTTTTGGGTGTTGTTGAATGCATACTTCATGAGTGCTTTCTTTTCCTTTGATCCCTTGTTTTCTGCAGAGGCAGGCTACGTGGCTACGCCCATAGCCATGGTCCAGGCAGCCATGACTCTTCTCAGTGATGCCTCTGATCTTCCTAAGGCGTAAGTCTGGTTTTCTTCTAATTTGAAGATCTCTTTTTCATCTTTGTTTATATGGCACTGGGTCTGCACATGAGCATTTACAGTTTCTTTGATCCAAAGATGGGCTAAATTAAAATGATGAGAAGGACAGTTCCTCATTGGCCTCTGGGAACAATGCAGAGGTAAATGAGAGGAGACAGAGAAGTTTGAGAGCCGTGTAAGTTGACTTCAATTTCTTGAAAAAATAGCTCAAGTCCAGAGTCGACTACTCAGAAAAGGTCCCTACTGTTAAATAGTATTAACAGGAGCCTCTGATGAGTGCTGAACCGTACAGCTGACGGTGGGACCCTGACACCAAGAGTGATCTTATTTGTGGCATCCTGGCAGGATGATTGTCAAGTGGACTATCGTACTGGAGCCTTTAGCTGTTACCCTAAAAGTAGGCCAGCTTTACAAATGAGCATAGGCCTGCAGGCTTAGAAATAAATGAATTTAGGTATGACCTGAAACAATATTAAGTAATAACATAAAAGTTGTATAGAGCAAAGCATAGTTAAATTTTTTCAAGTACTTATATACCCTTTGAAAATATTTAGCATTTTATAAATGTTAGCCGTTACATTTAAAGAAACTTCTTTTTCATCCAGTTTGTCTTATTTATGCTTTATTAATAATTGATTACTTAAGTTTCTTTCACTCAGTTCTTTATTTAATCCTCCTGGATCTGAGGGATGTCTGTATAAACAGCAGCAGTTACTGGGGTTGATCACCCTGAGTGTGCTTCTTGAACACATCAGTATCATGGAAATAGACTCATGAGTTGCTGAACCAATCTAGATGGGTTTGCTGGGCCACTAATTTCCTCCTGGGTAAGGCTACTTGCTCATTTAGTTGATTTTCGGAATGGAACCAAAACTAGTCCATGATAAAATCAAGAATCAGGTTTTCATGAGCTCTGCAGTGATTTGATAGCTAATCTTCAGCAGATCATGTGAGCAGAGGGAAGGACTGGAGATGGGCTTTGTGCACTGTTTTATATTATTATTGTCTTACAGGGGCGGAGTCTTCACACCTGGAGCAGCTTTCTCCAGAACAAATTTGATTGACAGACTCAACCAACGTGGCATTGAATTTAGCATCCTTAGCAGCTCTGAAGTCTAAACATTTGCAGAATTAACCAGTCATAAAATGCATGAATTAACAGCTTTTTTATTTGATATTTGAAATTCTTCTATAATCCTATCTGACTGTATGTGGAAAAGATTGTCAAATCTAAAATATGTACACATTAAAAGCAGGAAATTGTACTAGCTTACCCTAAATTTCAAATCTTAGCTGATTTTGTGATTTTATTGCTTGTGAGAGAGAACTGGTATTTGACTGAGTTTTTCGTTGAAGAATTCATGGTCAATGTTTATCGGTGAGCTGGCAGCTCAGAGGGTGGGGTGGGAATCTCTATCTGTGTGGCTCACTGATTCCTTGATGAGGCTCCCAGACATGTCATGTCAGGCAGTAACCGCTGCTTTCCTTGCCGTGCTACTGAATGGGATCTCACTTTCCAGTGAGTTTCTCTATGTATTGGGGGGGCCTTTGCCAAATGAAACTGTACTTTTTGCTATTTTAGCCTAGTTTTTCGCCCATCTACACTGATTTTGGACTGATACTAAGTTGAATAATAAAGGATTGTCAATTGAATGGTGGTTTTGTGTTTGGGCCTGCCGAGGTTCTTGAGTAGTGGTAAAAATGAGCTTCCTGGTTGGTCTGACCTGTGTGCCACGAATGATTGGGCTTGTTTGTTTCCCTGGTTCTGTTTTAGTTTTAAGGATACAGCTGGTTATTTTGTATTGATTTACACTGCCTAAGCAGAATTTTTTTCTAATTTACTTTTTGTTATTTTAACTAGGTTTTCCACCGATGCCCTAAAATAAGGCAAAGGGCTTTTCCTTTTGTGATAAACATATAATAAACACATACACAGCGTTCTGTGCTGTTCATTATGTAAAGAGGACAACCACTACCTTTATGGAATTTCTACTCTACAATGAGAAGCATGACATAGATAGGACTATTATTCATGTGGGGAGCCCCTTCTGTGCTGCCTACAGAAGAAAGAGGGTCTTTAACTTGAAGAGGGAGACTCTTGGTGGTAGTCCTGTTCATCCTCACTTTGCTCCCTCTGCCCAGGGCTGGTCGGGATCTGGTCTCAGCTGTGCCCTAATTTGTGGGACCTTAGAAAAGTTTTTATCATCTCTAAAAACAAAGATGTTCAGGAGCAACAGATCTCATGACATGTGTATCAGAATCACGAAACAACGATAGGTTCCCCAGTGGACCCCAGCAGTGTGCATTTAGGAAGGCTGGAGGTTGGGGCCTAGAATCTGTGGTTTAGATCTGCATTTGGGGCCACTGGGTGAAGCTACGTGTTGTGTAAGCTTTCTTTACAGCTTTGCAGTGAACGCTGTGTTCTTTTCTGGCATTGACACTGATGTATGACAACCCGGGTGATCCTATCCTCCGGCTTGAGATACAAGTCTGTCTCATCCTGATTTTCTTTTTAACCCTCCAAGGCTCCACCTGCTCTCGTTTGCAGAAAGTATATTCCTCACTTGAGGCGAGTAATACACGATCTGCAAATCGTCCAGGAAGCTTGAGGCTCAGTCCAAGAGGTAGAAGCCGTTCCTGCTTCCCGTGGCCTCACTGCTGTCCTGCCTCACTGACGGAGGCTTCCCGCGATCCTGTGATGCTTTGCTGGCGCCTGTCCCTGCCACCACCACAGGGAGCTCCACACGTGGCCTCCGAGGTTACGGCTTATCTTGCGGTTCATGTGTGTATACTCAGTCAGGACCTGAGCTGCAGGCAAAACCCAAGCCTCTGTCATAAGCTGTTGGGCCCTGATATTAAGCTGAAACTACCAGCCCAGATCCACCACCTTCCCTGGGAGACTCCTTTCTGGAGCCCTGGATAGCTTCTCCTGCCGGGAGAGTGTCGGTGTCATGCCATTTGATTAGTCTAACTTTATATTTCAGAGGGCGAGGATTGGGGTTGTCAGCTCTAGGTCCTCCTTCCTGGTTTCTTACGCCCATCAGTCTAGCTGCTCCCTGGGCCCGTCCTGCATGTTAAGGCAGCAGCGTAGGTCTGCAGTCTCTAGAGTCGGCCTGCTGCCTACTCACAGTGGCCTGGACAGACCTTACTTATTTAACCTTTAAAGCCTCAAAATGGGGGAAATAATAGTGCCAAACACGTAGCATTATAGTGAGAATTAAATGAGCTAACAGACGTCTAGCACTTGGATTAGTGCCTGGCACACGGTAAGCACTCATTAAATCGCAATATTATTGCTACTATTGTTATTAGGAATCTCAGGCTACAAAATATTTCTTTATAGCTTTTCCCCGGAGCGCTCAGTGCCTGTCAGTCCTTACCTAAGTCCCATCAGTCAATTCTTGGTGGACTCAAGATCCCTTAGAGATTGACTAACCCCTGGCAGACCTCACCAGCACTCTTAATCTCTGCCGCCCCCGGCGCCTGTGCTGAACACGTCCCACAGTACAGGCACTAATGCTGCGTAGTGAATTGGATGTATTTCAAGTAAACTTGTGAAGACAGACTATAAGTGGAGGCAGAATATCAGATTTATTCAGAGCAAGGATACAAAATGAGGGGCATGAAATAACCATTATCTCTAGGTCTGACATCAAGAAATTTATCAAAAGAGATTTATTTGAAGTTTCAAACTGTTTACTTGTTAAAATATTAATGGCAAATGCTTATTGATTGATTCTGGGTGCCAGGCATGTTCTAAGTGCTTTATGTTCCTTTATATTCATTAACCATCTGCACTGAGTACTGTTATTTCCATATAACAGATAAGGAACGAAACGCCTAGAGAGGGCAAGTCATTTGCCCTAAACCACACGATTGATAAGAGATGGGTTTTACCCCAGGCGGTCCAATCCCAGAGCTCAGAGCACTAACCATTCACCTCCAGTATCTCCCATGTCACCTTCACCCTGGATATGGATTCATTTTTTACATGGTTTTAAAAATCAGATTGAAGGAGAGGAGGTTTGCTTAAAAATGGTAGAAGAAATAGGTTAAGTGGGAACTATAGCTGCACAAATAATCTTTACAACTCAAAACTCAAATGTTTTCGGTTGGTGTATCCTCGTTATTCGATGTGAGATAAACATTCTCTCTTTCTTTTAATTATAAGAGCAACATCATTTTTCAGTTTCCACAAGCTGGATTCAAGTAGGTCGCCGAAGTCTTTTAACATTCGTGACTGTTGTTGTACAAATGGCCGAAGCATTTGATCATCTTCCTAAAAAATGAAAGAAAAAAATGGTAGTAGTAGACTCACATGATTAGAGTAAAAGTATTATGTATACATGAGTGGAGTGCCTGCTGAGTTCTCCCTTTGGCCTAGAAAACTGCATTTGAAAGTTGCTAGCATGGGCCGGCCCCGTGGCTTAGCGGTTAAGTGCACGCTCCGCTGCTGGCGGCCCGGGTTTGGATCCCGGGCACGCACCAACGCACCGCTTCTCCGGCGATGCTGAGGCTGCGTCCCACATACAGCAACTAGAAGGATGTGCAACTATGACATACAACTATCTACTGGGGCTTTGGGGGGAAATAAAACAAATAAATAAAATCTTTAAAAAAAAAAAGAAGGTTGCTAGCAGAGGCAATAAGCCCCCTAGGAGCACGTTCGGTTTCAGAAAGGCTGCCATTAGTTACTGCCACTAGGGGAGATTGATGAGATAATCCAAATATTTCAGATTGGAATGGTATATATTCTTTTAATACTGTACAAGTTCTGAGGTTTGCAAAGGACCGTGTGGGGTGGGGATTCTGCCATTGGTAGGGCTGGGTGATGTCTCCTCTGCCTCATGGGAGCAGGTGCCCCTGGGAGGGGATTTACAGGGACGTCTGTGGGCCAGAGTGCCAGCTACCAGCGGTGGGGAGGATGGTGACGGTGCTGACAGATGGTGCTACCGGACACCAACACAGGTTCGTTCACTCGCTGCACAAGAGGGGAGCTGTTAACTGGATGCCAGCCTTGTGGCAAGGAAAGAGGTTTAATTTGGGTGACGTCAGCCGGGAGATGGGAGTAAGCACACAGCTCTGTCTCCCCGGGAGACGAAAGACAGGCAAGTGGTTTGAAAGGTTGGGAGGCATGTGACTACGTGCAGGGAGAGGGGTGGCGAGATAAGGGAGTCTGCAGGTGAGTGTCCTTGGTTATCTTCTTCCGTGATGGGTGGTGGGTTCCAGAGCCAGGAGGCCAAGGAGTTGGGGTCAGGGAAACTTCAGTGTCTTGATATTCTCTGGACATGAGTTTTCCTGCAGTCAACTTCAAGGACGGTGATTAGCCATGACTTCAGTGTGAGGCCACCAGGGTTTAGCATTTTGTAACTTGTGTGTGAGGGGGAAGTCAGTGCTCTAATCTCAACACCACTTTCAGGCATTGGTGAAGCTCAGGGATACCAGGGTTAAAGATACTCTATTTACATATGAACGTAACTAGAGAATCGGGGAGAGAGGGTGGGTGCTTTTGGTTTTAACCCCATGTGTGCTGGGGTTAATGTAGGGGAACCCGTAACAGGGCCAGTATCAATGGGAGTGGGCAGAGGGTGGGTGGTGTGTCATGGCATCTCATTTTAGTTTCCGTTTCCCTGATGAGTAGCGAAATGCCTACTCAGGTCCTTTGCCCCGTTTTTTCCAATGTGTTTTCCAACATGTTGTCTTTTTCTTATCTTAAAAGTAGTTTATATATTTTGGATACTAACCTTGGATGATAAATAATACAATTGATTCTCCCAGGGTATGGCTTATTTTAAACTTTGTTTATAGTGTCTTTCATCTAACCAGTTTTTCTTTCTTTTTTGTTGTGAGATATACATACAAAAGAGTACCCAAAATGTGTGTGTAGGTACAGTTAAGGTGAACACACCTGCTCAAGAAAGAACTCTGCCTGTCAAACCTCTCCTGGTTACCTCCTCGCCCCTCTCTCCAGAAGCAGCCAGTAGCCTGACTTGTGTGATGATCATTTTCTTGCCACCTAGAATGCAGCCCTAAACAGTATATTTCTACTGTCTTTTGACCGTTTATGGAATCATACTGGATGGCGTCTTTTGTGACTTGAAGGTTTCAATCACCACTGTTGGTGGTAAAATTCAGCCTGTTGCACGTGGCTGTCGTTCATTTTCACAGCAGTGTAGTGTTCCACAGTATAGAAGGTGCCATAATTTACCTATCTTCTGTGGATGATCATTAGGATGTTTCCAGTTTGGGGCTACTATGGAAGATGGTGTTAAGAACAGCCAGTGCACATATGCCCGGGTTTCTGCAGAGTTTTTCAGCTGGTCCCTCATCTGAACCACAGAACAGAAAATGATTTGAGTGACTGTTTTCTCAGTTCTCTCAAGAATGGTGTATAACTCGAGTACCATTCTAGATAGATAGGGGAGAAATTAATTCATTACATACATTGGAAACCTAGTGAGGTGGTTCTCAAACTTCAGTTTAAGGCAGAATCCTTTGGAGGGCTTGTTAAAGCACAGATTACTGGGCCCCGCACCCAGAGATTCTGATTCAGTAGGTCTGAGATGGGGCCCTGGAATTTGCATTCCTAACAAGATCTCAGATGATGCTGAAGCTGCTAGTGGGGGGACCACACTTTGAGAACCTTGGCCTCGGCTCAATTCTCCGCAGAACCGGGTTACTCTGTGGAGAAGAGGAGTTGAATCGCAGGCTTCTAGGGTGGATGCATCTTCAACTTTTATTAGGTAAATGACAAACAATTTTTTAAGTGCTCATACCAATTTATACTCCTTCCAGCAGGGCATGAAAGTTTCTGTTGCTTTGTATCTTCACCAAAACCTGATATTTTCAGACTTTTTAATTTTTGCCAGTATGGTTGGTTTGTATAGTATTTCTTTGTGGTTTCAATTAGTGTTTCCCAAACTATTAATGAGGTTAAGCTCTTTTTCATATATTTATTGGCCTATTTGGTTTCCTCTTTTGTGAAGTTCCTGTTCAGGTCTTTTGACCATTTTTTTCTATTGGGTTAACTATCTCTGTTTTTCTTTTTGGTTTGTAGTCATTCTTTGTTTTGGATATTAGTTCATTATATGTTAAATGTGTTGCAAATAACTTTTCTCATCCCTTTTGATTTTATTTTGGTATCTAGACCAAAGTTTACAATTTTAATGTGGGTGAAGCTATCAATCTTTTTCTTTAAAGCTAGGGGTTTTTTTGTGTGTCATATTTAAGAAAATCTTTTCCACTGTGAGGTCATGAAGACAGTCTCCTAAAGTCTCTTCTATAAGCGTTAGGGTTTTACCTTTTACATGTAGGTCTTTAATTCTCACCTAAAATTGATTTCTGGGTATAGTTTTGGATAAGACTCCAATTTCATTTTTCCTCGTACATATTCTTAATTCTCCTAGCACCATTTATTGACGAATCCATCCTTGCCACACTCATCTGTGTTTCCACCTCGGTCTTATATCAAGTCTCTAGTCCTGAGTGAATCTACTTCTGGGCCTTCTGTTCTTTTTCTTTGATATCTTAGCTTATCTATATTTGGGCCAATACCTTACTGCCTAATACAATAGCATTAAAATCAGCCTTGATATCAGGTAGGGCAGGTCTTCCTAACTTGGTATTGGGTCTTGGTCTTGGCTATTCTTTGCTCTCACAATTCCATCTAAATTAAAGAATCATCTTGTTAGATTCCATTCCATTTGATTGGGATTACACTGAATCTCAGGAAACTGGACAGATTTACAGTAGCAAACCTTCCAAACCATGGAGACATGGCATGCTTCTCCATTTATTTAGATCATCTTTAACATCTCTCAAGTGTTAAAATTTTCTCCGTGGAAGTCCATAGTTTTTTAGCTATAGGCCTAAGTACTTCTCATATTTGATGCAATTATAATTGTATCTTCTATAAAAAAATTTTTGTCTCGTTGCTGTTATAGTCAAATATAGTTAATTTTTAAATATTGATTTTGTATCCAGCAACTTTGTAATTCTTCTGGATTTTCTATTTACATAAACATGTCGTGTGAGCATAATACTAGAGGCAGCACAGTGTAGTGGGAGAGTACAGACTGCAGAGCAAGCCTAGCTGGTTGGAGCGGGGCCCTGCTCCTTACTAGTTGTGTATCTTTACGTAAGTTCCCTAACTTCTCTTGTGCCTTAGATCCATCAGCTGAAAAATAAGGCTAATAATAGTACCTTCCACATCGGGTTCTTATGAGAATTGAGTCAGTAAATGTAAAGCACTTAGTATTATGTAAATGTGTGCTATTATTGCTGTTGCTTTTGTTTCCTTTCCAGTCTTTATATCTTGTATGTCTTGCCTTACTGCACTGGCTAGTACCTAAAGTACAGTGTCAAACAGGAGTGACATCCCTGACTGGCATCCTTGACTTCTTCCTGAGGTGAAAGGGAAAGGTTTCAGTGATTCACCATAAGCATTATGCTTGCTGCGTGTGTGTTTAAGATTGCCTTCATCAGATTAAGAAATGTCCATTTTATTCCTACTCTGCTGAGTTTTTATCATGGTAGGATGCTGAATTTCATCACTTGCCTTTTCTGCATCTATTGAAGTAATCATGATTTTTCTCCTATAATATCTTAATGTGAAGAATTATATCCATGTGGTTTTATAACGATAAACCAGACTTGCATTTCTGGGATATTCTGTATATCATAAGGTGAATGAATGTCACTCCTGCCGTGGCTGTGGCTGCCTGGAACCAGGCAGATGTACGCTGAATAAAAAAGCAAGAGCAAAGGTGGATGGCGGCCGACAGAGCATAGACTCACACTGTTACTCCGTGTGCTCTTCTGCTTAAACACACGCGTCCCCAAGCTCAGGAAACGCAGTTATATCAAATACCTCAATTTAATGGAAATTTAATGGAATCCCAGGATTCTGGTTACTTACACGAGGTTTATAGTGTCTCAGTCTGAGAAACTGCCCCTTGCCGTGTTCATGCTTTGGTAGAACACCTTAAGAGCTTTGGCAAATTCTCTGTCATAGCTGGCTGGCTGGGTCTACATTTGATTAATCTCTTGGGCTGCTGGCAGTTGTGCTGTCATCCCGGTTACCTTCAGGGTATTGGAAGGCTTATGTGCTAAGATAGAAAGAAAAGATAACATTTATTTATCCACCTAGTTATTTATCCAGGTATTTATGTATTTATTTATCGTGCTGGCATTCTACTACATCAGCATTTATCAGGGACCAATTTTGACCCCTCCAAAGAAACCTTACAAGGCAGAAGGAAAAAAAGTTCTGCTCTTTTTTTTATGAAACAAGATATAGATTAACTCATTAAAAAATTCATTTCTTAGAAAGACAAATACACATCACAAATAAAGGAGTTTAGAGATAAACAACCAAGACTCAAGTGGCCTCTCACCTTGTTGACTAGAACCAGTTTTCTCAAGTGACCCTTTGAGAAGCACGTTTTCCTCTCTAAGGGCTCTGTTAATGTTTCTGAGCAGTTCTGTCTCCTGTTGTAACTTGAGCAGCTTCAGGTCAAGTTCTGATATCGGATTTGATGTAGCCTACAAAAAACATGTCCGTTTAGCCGTTGGCTGGGTTATTTGCATTTCCTTTGAGACTGGCAATTTTTACTCCCATGTGAAAACTAGGTGGGGGGGGGGTGTGGTGAGCAGGGCTCAAGCCCCTCGGGGTACACAGGAGTAAATAAGAAAACATCTGTTAAAGAGAAGGAACATGGATGATCCCCAAGCGGCTCTGAGATTTTCTAGTCATCTGTGACGTCTATTTAATGTCACATGAATGTACACACCTTGCCTGTATCCATCACAGTGGCAATTTTCATGGTGTCCACCATGATGTGGCCTTTACCTGTGACCATGAGGTCCGGCTGAGAGCAGCTCAGTTCGGCACAGCCTTCTGCAGAGCGGGGGAAACACCATCAAGGAAAGAAAGGGCTCAGTTGTCTAGCCCCAGTGTTGTGTGAGGAGATGTTAAGCCATGTAATCGCCCGTGGACTAGAACCCAGGGACCCAGGGGAAGACGGCTCCTGGCCACTGCTGTTAAGACCCTGACCACGTCCCTCCACCTCCTCTGCAGCCCTGGGTATACTGACATGATAGCTGGTTGAAGAATGCACCATGCAGAAGGGGTAGTAAAGATGGTACCTTGAAGACCCCCTAAGTCAACAATGAGTTGTAAGTAATTCAGGAACTCCTGAGATGCATTTAAGGCTGCAAATTGCACAGTATCTTCAATTTGGGGATTCACAATTTTCCATACAGGCTTAGTATATAAAGTGTTTGGAAGATCATAAATTCGGTACCTGAGAAAAGAACATAAAACATAATTTAAAACCAAAAAGGACGTGTTTGTAAAGAAAAGGATCAGATGAGCCAAAGCAAGTAGAGCCTGCATGGGGTAGTTGATAAAAGATGACCTATAATTGATTCTCATGATTGCTGCCCCCAACATCTCAGCTATTCAGCATGAGTCTCATCACTGCATAGGTAACATTAAATGTCTGGCAAAAAAGGAAAAGGATTTTGATAAATACTTTCTACCTAGATAATCTAAAATTGTTAATTTTCCACGTGAGGTGGTTGGTTGGGTTTTGTCTTTCAAAGTCTCCCTTTCTTTATTGCTCTCTCTCTTTATATCCTTTTAGCCTGATTAGTTTAAGCATATCTGGCGCTTCTGCCACATTGTAGTACAGTCCTTTTGTTCCCAACTCGAAAAAACCAAAAAACAACCATTCTACTTAGATAATACAGTTTTATTGGATATTCTTTTGGATAATTAAAATTCCTGACTCTGCTGCTTCGAGCACTTTGAAGGTCAGAACACATTGAGCACAGTCCAGTGACTGCAGGGGCACGCGGCTTCTCTCTCTATTCAACAGACGGGGGAAATAGTCATTTTGGGGTTGAGCAAGCATCGACACTTAAGAAAACTTCATGATAAACTCATTTTTAAAACTTGAAAGAAAGGCTCCCTCCTCTCAGGGCCCACAAGGTGGCTTGTTTATGCATAGCCGCTCTGCGGGGTGGGCTGGTACCCCATCTGAACCCCCTGCTCTGCATCTTCCTTTAGCCACCAAGGCATCGCACAATGCGAATCTGGAAATCCATCCTCTTGCCCAGCAGCTCCAAAGGGTCAATGACCACATCCTCCCCACCACATGCTCTACAAACAGAAGAGGGGGAACGTTGATCGCAGGTTAGCCTGGGCCCAAGCAAGTTAGGATTGGGATGTCAAAGGGGGTTACATAGACTCCTTAAGAGGGGGCTGAGTTCACTGAAGGAAGAGTAGTAATATAATCAGCTGTAGAATTCATTCATTCAAGAGACGCTCAACGAGGGCTCACCCTCTGCTGGTACTTCAAGGTAAGACATGAACCTCCTCAGGGAGCTCACAGCCTTCTCAAGGAGGACACGGGAATATAACAGCTTCAGGAAGTAAATGCACTCAGATGTGGGTGCTGAACTAGCATTAAAGATGGAGGTAGGGTCCCAGTGGGACAGAGGGGCTGCCCCCCGGGAAAAGCCAATTGACTCCCCAGAGGCAGTCTCTCAAGGGATCATCTTTCCTGGTAAATTCGTCATAGTCCAGAGTCAACCTCAGGCCTACAAGCTCAGAAACTGATTCGGACAGCTTTCCAACAGGGGCCGTCACTCACATCGACCAAACTCATAAAGACTGAAACCTGTAAACTAGAATGCCGCTTTGTTAACTTGCAGTGGGAAAGATAACCGTCAGGACCCTAGACGCCCGAGGTAGCCGGATGACCAGAACGCTGCCTGGGGTCCCGGTAAAGACAGTGAACCAATGGTCAGCTTGGTCTCTCGGTCACAGGACCTTGTGGTTCTCCTGCTCCCTTCTTGAGCCTATTTCCTCTTCAGAAAAACAAAAAGATTGCAGTCGGTGCCTCTGAGGACCCTGGCACCCAGACCAGACCCTTCCAGCCTCTGCTTAGAATTGCTAAGCGACTTCAGCTTTTGTAAAAACTGCCTGACCTGCCTATGGCCTACAGAGAGAAAACAGACGAGATAGCCTGAGACGAGGGTAACAGGTAACGGAGTAGAGGTAAAACAAAGCCTGTGCCCACAGAAAGATCAGATAACAGCATAGAAAGAGGCCAGACAACAAAGACACTCTGTCCCTGCCTTGAGAAAAGGAACAAAGAAATGATCAGAGCTTGTACCAAGGAGGGAGAAGGGGTCAGCTTTCTGCTTCTGGGTGTTGGGCCTCATCAGAAGGAATTTTTTAAATACTTCAGGTCAGCGGTTTTGGCTGCCATGGCAAAAATCAGATTTGATGAGGTCAAATCATGAATGCGTGAGCTCATTCATTTGTCTCACGAATGACCTCTTCAGGGTACCGGGTTGACCACCCCCTCCGGGAGAACTCAGGCTTGCTGTGAGTTTTCTATGTTTGACAGACCCGGAACTAGGCAGGGGGGAGAAGATACCCACTGTCCTGTCGGGGCGCAGGGGCTCATGCAGATACGCAGCACCGCCGCCTCCAGCCTGTCGCAGCTCACAAGCTCCACCTGCTCCTCGCACTCCACGCAGTGGGCGAGAGACTGGAGCCAGACGTGAGCCGAGCCCAGGCGGACGGCCTCGACAGGATCCCAGAAGGGGTCGTCTTCCTGAGCTACGTGGCTGTCTTCTCCATCCAGCGCTGGTACAGTTCCTCCGTTAGGAATTTCCTATTGATAAACTTGGCTTTTCACCAAATCCACACCTGGAAATACAAAGGTAGGTCACCAATATTTGATTCCATCTGCTGCTCTAACAAGTCGTTTCTGTGATTTTTCCCAGCATGCTCCCTCTGATGGGGTGAGTTTTAGGTACCCAAGACCACATAACACTCTCATCAAACTTAGCTTTGGTAAGGGCCTTCAAGAGCACCATGTTCCTTCCTGGACCGATCACTTCAGCACTGCTTGAGTTGCTGGAGCCCAGAAATGACTTAGAGGAGATGATGAAGGAGTTAGAAAACAGACCCTCCCAGGAGAAATGAAGGTTTAGGGCTCGTGGTACACAGAAGAATGGCCCTCAAAGATGTCCATGTCCCAGTCTCCGGAACCTGTGAATATGTTACTTTATATGGCAAAGGGGAATTAAGGCTGCAGACAGAATTAAGTTTGCTTATCACCAGACCTTAAAACAGGGAGATTACCTTGGATTATCTAGGTGGGCCAAATGTATGGGCCTGAAGTGTGGAAGAGGAAGCAGAAGAGGGTCAGAGAGATGCTGTGTGGCTGACCTTGGATATGAAGGAAGGGGCCATGACCCAAGGAATGTTGGTGGCCTCTAGAAGCTTGAGAAAGCAAAGAAACAGACCCTCCTTTGAGCCTCCAGAAAGCAAGACAGCCCAGGTGACCCCTTGCTTGTAGCCCAGTGAGATGCGTGATGGACCCTAACCTGCAGAACTCTAAGTGATAAACTTGTGTGCTCACACCCAGTGAGCAGACAATCTAGGACAAGACCCTGCCACTGGCGAGGGACAAGGCCTCTGCGTCAACACTGGCTACCAAGAGAAAGGACATGAGCATAAGCTGCAGTATGAGGGATTCAAGTTAGATAATTTCTTGACCAATAATGTCACATCAGAATTGGCTACCAGGTAAAACTAGCAACTCCTTCTCTGAGCAACTTAGCAAAAATAAAAAACTATTAAGTCATTCTCGCTCTGAGTGTTATGCATCTTCATAAAAAGGACCTCCTCTAGACACTAAAAAGACTTCATTCTTTTTCTGTTTGCACAAGTAAAGTGAAGAACACAGTGCTCCTCTCCCAGGGCATCGTCAAGGCGAAATGAGACCCTGGCTATGGTGCATATCGTGGGCAGCAGAGTACAAGAAGAACTCTAGTGGGTTTAAGAGACCTTTAGGCTAGGGACCTAAGATAGTGGGAATCAAGCTAATGAAATCACTGGATGGCTGACCGCAGGCCCTGTGACAGGTAGAACCAATGTCATCTGTGGCAGGTCAGCGAGGCTCTGCGGGGCAGCCTGGGATAGCTGTGCCGACCCTCCCCCCAGGATGCGCCTGCAGGGCAGGTGCAGAGACTGGCTGCAAGTGCTTGTCACCCGAGCCGACAGTTGCGCGGGCACTGCTGAAAAGTAACCGCAAGCTGTCGGCGTTTCCAGTTTAGAAAACCCTCCCCAGCCCTCACAAGGCCCTGCAGGCTCCCAGACTTGTCCTTGATGGGTGACTCTGTCACACAAAACTGCCCATGGGCGCGCTCTCCTCTCAAGAGCCGCAGCAACATTCACGCTCCACAGGGTCCGAGGGTGAACGTTTACAAGATCAGCCACCAAGAGTGCCATTCTGGTCTGTACCTGGAGCCCACTGCTGCTCACCACCAGTCTTTTCAACATCACACACAAGCACAAAACGTTCCCAGAAACCACCAGAAGCTACTGCCAGCCTTTCAGAGGGCTCCTGAGGAATGTGGGGCTTCATTTGAGGAAAGGTCACTGGTACTTTTGAAAGGTAAAAATAGACAACCTTAAAGATGACAGATCAGTAAGACTACTCTCTGCATGAGAAAAAAGAAAAATAGAAAAAAAAAATCCCCATAAAATTAATTGGTGCACAGTCCCTTAAAAGAGAACCAGCGTGGTTTACACAGGAGCAGTCCTGTCACCCAGTTATCCGGGACCATGACAGGGACATCGGGTTGAAGGAAAAGGACAGAACGTATACAGGCCCTCAGCTCTCCACACCACACGCTTAACAGTAAAATGTAAAAACCGTTCCTGTGTTCTATTTCTGGTAATGGCAGGCTGTGTTATTCAGGTAACCCTTCTGCTAACGTTAAAAAAGGCTGAATAAAATATTTTTCAGATCACCTTAAACTGTGCTTCTGTGTACATGCTTTCCTTATTTCTTCCTTGATTCCCCACTGAGTGCTGACTCTCCATCACGCTCTGGGAATCAGTGGGGACTAAACAGACCCATTGCCTCCCCCCAGGACTTGATAGACTAATGTGCTCACTACCTGTGAGAGACGCTTGAAGGAAAGGGCGGTGCTCCTGCAGCGTCTACGAGGCGGCCTCATTGACACTGGGGATTAGAGAAGGCCTCCTGGGAGGCGTGCTGTTTAAGGTGGGACTTCCAGTGTGGTAAGTTTTGTGAGGCAGAGAAGGCTGCTTCGAACAGAGCCTGGGGTGTTTTGAGCAACCAAGAGAGGGTCACTGTGACCAGGGAAGCGCGTGGAGGAGGCGGGGGACGGGGCAGCTCACGCAGGTGTCCTAAAAGGGAGTCACCAAGGATTTCCAGAAGGAAGTGGCCTAATCCAGTTTGCTTGTCTAAAAGGCTCTGTGTGGCCACAGTGTGGAGAATGGATTGGAGAGAGGATTGGGCTGCAGGGGGCTGGTAGGAGCCCCTGGGGTGGTGGGGAGGAGATGGAGAGAGCCCGATGTTTGCAGGAGCTGTGCAAGCCCTCTCAATGGCAGATTTTTTAAAAAGCTAAATGTCATAAAATGTTAGAGCTGGAAGGGATCTTGGTGATCATCTAGTTCCCCCATCTCTGTCTTATCAGGGAGGTCCAGAGAAGCCAAGTGACTTCCCAAGAACGCAAAGCAAGTTCATAGCAGATCTCCCAACTCCACAGCTGTGACCATGTCATTATCTTCATTCCATAGCAGAGGGACGCGAGGCGGTTAGCGCCCAGCCCACCCAGCCCTCGCCACAGCTTCGACGCCTGGGCCTCCTCACAAGGACCTCTCCCAGCTCTTGGGTGGGACTCAGGATATTCTGTGGCCAGGCAGGAAAGTTTACCAAATGCTGTAGCTTTGTCTTGGTCGTGATGGGCACCCCGTTAACGACAACCTTGCATTTGCTGTGTGGAGTGACTGTCACTTTACCATCCAAATTTGTGAAGGAAGTGTGTTTATCTGAAATTCTAAACGGACAAGAGTTTGTCTAAGTGAGCAAATAAATGAAGACTTTAGCGAACAGTTTAGATGGTCTTTCTCACTTGCACACTTCAGTGAGACCACAGCTGCTGACGATGGCAGGAAGCATCTGTGGCTCCCGTGTGCCGTGGCCACAGTGGGTGGAGATCGAGTAGCGGGTGCAGAAGGACCCTGCACACAGACTCCGGAGACAAGGCAATTATCTTATTAATCGAAGCAACACCAGCTGAGTGCCGGTAACTGCAAGGAGACGGGAGACACGGGGCTCATAGCTGGAGTCCTCAAAAACTCACAGACTGGTGGGACTGATGGAGGGGAAATGAAAAGAAAACAAAGAAGTTTCAGGAGAGATGCTTGGGTAGGTGATCTACTAATGAGCCTTACGCATTACAGGGAAGTCTAGATCTGTTTCTGGGTCTTTATTATACAAATGCAGACTTTATATGTCACAGGATTTGGGACTAGATGTCAGAGATGTCAAACTGGCTGCCCGCTAGACATCATCTGTGTGCCCTAAGTGACTGGCTTCCTAACTGTTCTAGAATGTTCTTGGACTCCTTGGCTGTCATGGAATGTTCTGGATGTTGAAACACATGTCCATCCATGTCCCTTGTTTGCTTGGGGCCCAGGGATCCTGTGGGAAAGGTTTTAACCTCAGCTCATCTGGAATTCCGCCACTTACAGACCTGTGTGTTGGACTAGGGGTCCCCACAGGAAGTGGCCTGAAAAGGGAGATGAGGGGAATCCCCAGGAAGAATCAGGGGAAGGGGCCTAGAGGCTGGCAGTGCAAGGTGAGGTGGTGCCAGCCCCTCAGTCAGCACAGTCCCTTCCCCTCCCCCTCCCACAACCCCACACACTTTGGCTCAGGAGGGCTGAGGTATGTCAGGGGGACTGTCTGTAAGAGCTGATGAAGCCCATTGGCTGGAAATAGTGGGCAATCAGGAAACAGTGGTTCTGGAAGGAGGAGAGAGAACCCTAGAGCAGTGGCCTCCCAAGGAGAGAGGCCACAGAGGTGAGACACAGCTCTAGTTTATGAAACCCACCAGAGGGTTGCACAGGAGCTCCTGGAGGGGCTCCTGAGGGAGTCCTTGGGGAGGGGATCACCTCCAGGTCTGGGCTTTCCATCAGGCCAGTTGGTGCTCCCAGCACAGAGATCTGGGGAGGCTTTTGGTTTGGTGGGGAGACCATGAAAGGCATGGGCTACCCCAGTGGGCCTGTGCTTTTAACTCTCTTCATTTCACGGGCAGATCTACTTATGTCTGCTTGTGAAGAATTATCATACAGAGTCTAGCAACTGACTTTCCCTTTTCTGCCAAGATCAGAGCCAACGAAACAAAGTGAGGGCAGCAGGAGGGACTTCAGCAAGAGGATGAAAGCCCTTCCCAAAGCTTTATTCCTTACGCATTAGAGGGGGTCGCTGAGAAAAGCCTGGTAATTTCTTGGTTGTCCAGCAGGATTTGTGGCCTGGCCTATTGATGACCAGAGGGATTTTGGAAATCTCCTCTGGACTGAGTGGGCACAATTCTCCAATGCTGGACGAAGATAGTTCATGTAAACTTACCCCAAACCTTGAAGCATGATGGCATTTGAAGCAGCCTGACCAGCATCACATGAACCTGAAAAGAATTAGGATAACTTCCTTTCAAAATCTTGCAGGATTTGATCTTAACAAGTGAGCATGTCTGATGTTTGGGAAGTGCCATTTCCTCTCCAATAGGATCATGTGAAGGGATTGTCCCACGGGAGTTTCAATCATAATGGTACTTAGACATCCCCCTGCTTTAGGGATAACCATTTTACTTTCTTCCTTTTCTTGTGGGATTCCTAACCTTTGGAAAGTTCCATCTTCCTCATAGGAATTCTGGAGGAAGAAATTGTTGAGTCTGGGCCTTAGGAGACATGCTCCCACCACTCCCAAAGAGTTCCAGCTCTGGCCCGTGACTTTGGGGGGAGTAAGGTCATGGTGGGGGTGTGGCATTGACGGGCGGCAGAGGGGGTATCTCCCTGACCCACGTAGAAAATTCACATCACAGCCCACCGAGGATCTGGTATTGGCAGTGAATGCCAGGATAGGTACCATGGTTCAGAGTTACAACATACTGGCCCCAGAAGACAACTCATATTCCTCAAATTCCCCCCAAACTCTAATTATCAGTGGCCTTGCCTTCTATCCTCGGCCTCACTCGTCAATATGCACCAAGGCCTCTCTGCCTCCTTTTCTTTCGTGCCCTGCCATTCTCTCCCCTAACTCTGCCAATAGTATCATTGTAAGTCATATGTCACATTTCACATACTACACATTCACTGAAAAACACTCCCCCCTGTCATGTACCAGACAGCAATGTGTGTCTGGGTAAGGCTCAAGGCTTCCCATCCGGGGCGCCGGCCTCCGCAGGTGGGGTCAGGGATGCTCACCTGGGCGATGGCCATGTATTGCTGCCGCCACTCTTTGCGAGCCTGCTCCAGCTGGTGCGCCCAGCTCATCGGATTAGCATGAGGCCCGAGCCCGTGCTCTGCCAGCAGACAGACTGGCTGCCCTGGAAGGAGGGAGATGTTTTAAGCAACAGGCCTGCAGTGTTACAGGTGAGGCACAGGATAACAACAGTCAGTCTCGACTCCGTTCTCAGTCAGAACTCGGGACTCAGCAGGAGTGGGGAATTGAACTGCACTTCGTGTGAGAAGTCTCTGGGTAAGTTCTACCAAGAGTAGTATCACCTTTTACTCCGTAAGGAACTACAGCAAGGAGGTCCTGTATAGGAGGAGGCACAAAGCTCAGTATCCTATTTTTTGTTCGTGTAGGCATGCGAGAGTGTTTCTTTTTTACACCGTCATTACAGGGAATTCCTATGAGGCCAGGGGATTCTGGAAGAATCAAAGATTTATCTTACATTGTTTTTCACATATTCTGTGTCTATGCTTATGAATAACGGGAATTAGACGCTATGTTTAGGTCAACATCCAGGACGTCCAATTTTTTTTTGTTTTTTTGAGGGAGATTGGCCCTTCGCTAACATCTGTTGCCAATCTTCCTCTTTTTCCTTCTTTCTCCCCAAAGCCCTAGTACATAGTTGTGTGTCATAGTTGTAGCTCTGCTATGTGGGACGCCGCCTCAGCATGGCTTGATGAGCGGTGAGCAGGTCTGCGCCCAGGATCCAAACCGGCGAACCCCGGGCAGCCGAAGCAGAATGCACACACCCAATCTCTCCCCACCAGGCCGGCCCCAGCACGTCCGATTTTTGATGTTACAGAGATTTCTGTCCCAGCAGAGCCATGCCTGGACCAGGTGAGGCACTGACTCAATTTAGGAAGGGCTTGGCTGAGGCTGATGCCTTAGTGAGTCAGACATGGGAACCTGGAGCTAGGGCAGGTGGGGCCGGCCTGCCCGCTGAGCCCGACATCCATTGAGGCAGCCTGGGTGTGTGTGTGTGTACCTTCCAACACTGCTGTTTCCATACTGAACACTTTTACCAATTTTACCTCAACGGTTTTATATTTTGCCTATTTTATCCACTCCATTCTAAAGTATTAATGGGCATAAAATCATGTATACCTTCATGCTGCCAAACTGAAGTCTGAAGCCTTAACTCAAAGCAGTGGTTCTCAATAATTGCACGGTAGAGCCGCTGGGGCCCTTAGGAAGGCCGGCTGCCCCAGGGGTGGATTAACTGTCTGGGTGGGGCCTTGTCACCAGGTGACTCTAATGCAGCCAGGGCTGAGCAGGGTCTCAGGAGACAGTGCTGCTGCTAAGGCTTCTTGAGCTGCAAGCATCACTTAGCTGCATGAGGCTCTCAGCAGAATCAACGTCAAATGGCCAAATCTGCTAAGGAAAGAGTAGTCTCGGTAGGAACAATGGCCTCAAAATAAAAATGGCAATAAAATACAGGACTAAAATGGCCACTTTTAAAGGGCACGGCCAATATTTCTTCCAACCGCATGTAAATCTACATTTACCTTAAAGTGGTTTTTTTCCAAGGTCAGGGCTCCCCCCGATTCTAACCACGTGCTTACTGAGCTGCTGGTCACTCCTCCCCCGGCCCCCAGCCTTCTTGCTGCTGGCTTGGACTCAGCATTGACTTCTGCCTCGGTTTACCTGCCATGCTGGAGTTTCCCCATCCGAGCAGCAGTTTGTTCTCTGTCCTCGACTCTCTCATTAGCGTTGAGGTGTTGACCACGGCTTTGTTCCGGATATTCTTAGCCCTTTCATGTGCGAAGACGACACACACTCAGGCCCTGGACCTTTCTGCAGTGCAAGCAGCACCACCAGAGCACTGGGCAGAAACCGGGCCTGCTCCCATCTCACCCGGGCAGAGAGAGAGCCCTTCACCCCCACGTGCTTCGAGATCCCACCATGTCAGGTTCCAGCAAAGCAGCAAGACCAAAAGGGACTGCAGTGACTTCCACGGTTCACATAAACATGAGCAGCTCCTCCAGGGCCCACAGCCCAGCCCCTGACACGTCCGGGGCCCTGAACACACTTGGCGAATGGAAAAATCTGTCCAATCCCTTCTGCTGCTGCTCCAATAACTCTAACCCTGGAGGCTGTGAGCGACCGCTCTGCCCTGTGCACCAGGCTGCGAGGGTCTCGGAGCCTGTCTGGTTCACTCCCTTCTGGTGTGGCCAGAGAAAACATGGGATGCCCCCAAATATCGCATGGGACATACTGATGCTAAAACACTCCTGCTCTTCATCTGAAGTTCGCGTTAACTGGGCATCCTGTATTTCTATTTGCCAAATCTGGCCACCTTCCTCCTTTCATTTTACGCAGATGACATTGAGGAACAGAGTTTACAAGGCTTGCCCCAAGTCACACGGTCGGTGGCAGATCTGGGATTAGAGCCCAGGACTTCTGGGAACCATTTTCTCTTTCCTCCACATCACACAGTCTTCATCACACAGTCTCTCATCACACATAAAAACTGTTAGCCACAGATTTGCATCTGATAACCAGAGCAAAAGGGAACATTCTAAATATTACTAAAAACAAAATTCGACCTAAAGATCTAGGCTTGTGGTGCAGATGCTGGAAGAAAAGTTCTGATGGTGTAAAATGATACTGAGGCTGCACAGCAAAGGATGAGAATGCAAGTATTTGTCACTTAAATGCAAGGGGCTCCCTCCCTGAGAAGAGGGCAGGGGAAAGAACAGAAGGAGAGGCGATTGCTTGGTGGCATAATAACATCTATCATTTTTGAGCATCGACTATGTGCCAGGCCAAACTCGGCCAGGAAGGGTCCATGCACGATCTCATACGGTCTTCACCCCAACTCTGTGACTAGGTGTCAGCCCCGGCTATGGTGAGGTCTCTGGGGGTTAGGAGGTTCAGGTCACATAGCTGGTGGGGCCAGACTCTGTCTGAAGCACAGGCCCCAGACCGGACAGGGGACACACTAGCGTAGGCAGATGCTTCCATCTCACACGGAGTTCCGGCTGCCTGGAACGCAGGCTTGAGAATTCCAGGTCCTGTCTGCCCCCGAGGGGAGCGCTGCAGAGGTGGATTCTCAGTGTCTGCCCCGCCAACGGAAGGAGGAGCAGTGTGGCCTGTGGGAGAGTTTCCACCCCTGGTTAGAAGCTTCCTCTCTGCATACCCTCCCCTTTCTCAGAAGGGTCAGGAAAAACAGGCTCAGCACGAGCTCCAGAGGCCTGACTTGAAAAGCAGGAACGCGGCTTGGCCACAGCCTCCTGCCAGGCTAACGGCGTGGGCTTGTTTCCTGGGCCGGTCGGACAGGAAGGAACCTGGCAATGAGAGCCCCTCCCCGGGAGGAGAGACCTGGACCTTCAGGCCTATTCCTATAGTCCAAAGAGTGTAACCTGTTGTGTAGGGCCTGGAGAGATGAGAACCGACACAGGGAGAGCTGCAGGGCTGGTGCCTGGGTGCCAACCTCGGGGTTGCCTCTTACACGCTCATCTTCATCTGTCATTAGCACAAAAATCCTGTCACTAAGTTCTACCCGTGTCCCAAGAGATAAAAGGAGAAATTGGTGAATATCCAGGCTACTGGGCAGGAAAATTCAGGGAGACGGGTGGGTAACCACATCAGGATTGGCATCAATGCTTCCTCCCATGGATGTGAGCCCACGGCTCCTCCCCCACCCAGGACTGGAGTGACAGAATGACAGGCTCAGGAGGGCCCTGAGGCCCAGTTCTTTCTCCTCTTGTTTCCTCTCACTCCTCTCTCGCAAGTCATTTTGATCCACCTTCTCCTGGACCCCTTCCCCAAACGCCAACCCATCAAGTATAAGGGTCCTAGAAGAATTTGCCAGATTTAGAACTTTTTAGACCCACCATGGATAATAAGTATTCATAAACGTACCTTTCAGCGTATCTTAATGTTGATAAAGTTTCCTCATAGCAGATGTCGGCTGGACTTACAGCTGCTATCTGTAAAAAATATCCCTTTCAGATTTTGTTATTTATGTCGGGGCTTATTGTATGACATGTATGTTGATATCATACAGCAAACATTCATGGATCATCTTGTAATTTACAGCATTGTTCGAACTTTACAACTCAGACAGAAAACTGAGGCTTAGGGAAAAATGATATGCCCCCAAGGTCACCCAGATAATACCTGGCAGAGCTGGGACTCGAACCAGCCCTGACTGACTGGAACACCTGTGCTGCTGACCTGGGTATGACACTGCCCTCCGCACTGAGTCCCCAGCAGATCTACTCAGGGACTTAAGTGACAGTTGAATGTTGGCACTGCAGAGACCAATCAATTTGCTCATTACTGAGTAGCCACGTGCATGGTTTCAAGTCTGGCTATGGACTTTGGGTTAATTGTTCTAGAATTCAAATGAGAAAAGCTTTTTGATGAACTGGAGGTGGGCAGGGTCACTGAGGGTGAACAGGAGGGAACATAACTGTCCACGTGGTGGCACGTAATTCAGGGACCTGGAGGCGGTGATCCGGCGCATAAGAGCCTGGTGAATAATCCTTTATCTTTTTTTAGCTTTGCGGCTTTTAAAGCTTGTTCATTTCTATCACCTAATTTAATTAGCACAGCAATATTTCCCAGAGGATATGTTATCACCTCCACGGTAGGAATGGAGGAAATGAGGTTTTAAGGGAAGTGTGCTGAAACTGGGGTTGGAGCCACAGAGAATCTAGAGCTGGGATGTTGGCTTTGCGGATTCTCTTTTTCATTTGCCTCCTGAGATGATCAACGACCACCCTGCCAGCCTCCTACCCACCGTGTATTTTTTTGTTGAACATTGTAACGCCCCAGTCAGGGCCTCGTTTTGCAGACCGGAAGTCATCCTCTCCCCGGTGACTGCACACATCTGCTCAGACCCATTAGGTGTGATTTTGTTGTCTAACGTTCAGAGGGCATCTTACGGCTTCCTTTTATCCCAGGTTCTTGGGGGATGGCTCCTTGAGGCCCACAGGTACTGACAACCAGAAAAACTTTAAAATGGAATATTTAAAACTAGTCAGGCAGGATTAAATGATGAAGAGTAGGGACGTGTTTTCCTGCGCATTTTGGAGAGAGGTGCATACAGCAGTTCCCAGCGGTGGGCGTGTCTCTCCTAACCAGGACTGCAGACTGGAGGCCAGCGCGAGGCTGAAGGCAGAGTCCACCTGGTCCTGTCCCTTCCTGCACCAGAAGCTGAAGGGCAGAGAGCCCTGATTCAACAGATAGCACATCGTACCCACTGGACAAACACTCAACAGTAAGAGTCTGGAGTCTTTGCTGAGACGACGCCATCCAGAGACTCTCCCGGGAAACCCCTGCCTCGTGTGTAACGCAGGCAAAATGATTTCCAGTCTTGCCGTGAAATAACTGATGGTATAGAATAATATGATATTGTAAGTGTTATTTTCAAAATTGTTTTAGTTTTTTCCTGATAACAAAAGTAATATATGTTCCTTGTAGAGAACCTGAAAACTACAGAAAAGAAAAAATAAAAAATGAGAATTAGCCACATGGAAACTTTATTTGAACACTGTAGTGGAAAGAGCCGCAGGAGTAATGAGATAATAGGTAAGAATGTGCTACATAAAGGCAAAGGGCTGCATGAGGGGTATACTGAGAATAGTAATAATAACAACAACAATAACAGCTAGATCAGTCTAAAATGTTGTAAGAAAGTCCTTTTACCAAAGTGGTTCTTCTGTTCCCGCCCAGAGCTGACTGCAGCAGTTTGGTCAGAACAGAATCTCTGTAAGGAATGTGCAAGACTCTCTTCCCCAATGACCAATGACAGAAAACAGAAGAAGAGCATCCTTAATGAACTGAAAGAAAATGCCCATCTAGAATTATATACCCAGCAAAATTATCTTTCAAGAAGGAGGTGAAAGAAAGATATTTCAACCAAACAAAAACTGAGAGTTTGCCTTTAGAAGATGATCACTAAAGGAAATTCTAAAGAATATAATTCAACCAGAAGGAAATTGATCTTAGATAGCAGCTCTAGGTTTAAGGAAGAGCAAATAATTTAAAAAAGGGATAAATGTGGATGCACACTGTGTAAAATAGTAATAATAATGTCTTTTCGAGTTAAAGAATAGAATTAAAATACATATCAGCAATTATAGATGTAGGATGGAGATCCTTATATTATCCAGGAAGAGGATAAAGTATTTACTATATTTAATGACTTTGGCCAACTAAACAGATTAAAGAGCCAAGAAACAGTTAAGTGTATATTGAATTTCGGTATGTGACAGAGGTAGCATAGAAAATCGCTGGGAAGTGTAGGGACTATTCAACAAATGCAACTCGAAGAATTGGTAATCTATAAGGAAAAAATAGTGAAAAGGATGCCTACCTTACATTATACACAGAAATCAACTCCAGATGGATAGGAACTTAAGTGTAATGTAGGCAGACATCTTTGTGACTGTAATTTTCTTAAACAAGACCCAAAAAAATGCAAAATGTAAACCATAACAATAACTTCTGCTCATGAACAGGCACCTTAAAGAAAGTGAAAATCCAAGCTACCAACTAGGAGGAGATATTTATAACACATATATCTGAGAAAAGAGAGCTAAAAAATATGTAAAAAATGCCTACAAATCAATAAAAAAGACAATAACTCAATAGAATAATTGAGGAAAACCTAAGAATAGGTATTTTGAGAGGCAACATATAGCTAATAAACATACCATGCGATGCTCAAACTTAGCACTAAACAGGAATATCTAGACCATAATAAGATATATTTACACCCATTTAATTGGTAAATATCAAGAAATCTGACAATATCAAGCTGTAGAAAAGATGTGGATTAGTGAGATATCTTATAGGTTGCTGCTGGGAATGTAAATTTGTCCAACCATTTTAGAAAACAATTTGTCACCATCTTGAAAAATTAGGTATTCACACACTTTACATGTAACCCAACAATTTCAGTTCTTTGTCTATACTCAAAAGAAACTTTATTTTTTTTATAATTTTATTTATTTATTTATTTTTTCCCCCAAAGCCCCAGTAGATAGTTGTATGTCATAGCCCACATCCTTCTAGTTGCTGTATGTGGGACCCGGCCTCAGCATGGCCAGAGAAGCGCTATGTCGGTACGCGCCCGGGATCTGAACCCAGGCCGCCAGCAGCGGAGCGCGCGCACTTAACCCGCTAAGCCACGGGGCCGGCCCAGAAACTTTAATATATTGCTACCCAGTGATTTGTACAAGAATGTTCATAGTAGCACTGTTTGTAATAGCGAGAAACAAAAACCTGTGAACAACCAAAATGCCAAACGACAGGAGAATGAATGAATAAATTGTGGCATTTGCCCACAATGAAATACTACATAATAACGACAAAGAAGTAACAACTACTACTGCAACAACATGGAGGAATCTCATAGACACAACGTGTAGTGAAAGAACAGAAAGTAAATTAGCTGTAGCCACACAAAACATCAAAAGATATTGTTAATAATGCTAAATCTAAAAGCAAATCCCAGCAGTTCTACTCTTGGATATGTACTTAAGAAGAATGAATAATGATCTTCACCAAAGCACATGTACGGGATGTTCACAGCAACTTTATTCATAGTAGTCAAAACCTGGAAACAAACTAAATGTCCATCAATAGGAGAATGGATAAATAAATTGTGACATCTTCCTACAATGGAACACTACACACCAATGAAAAAGAACTAATAACTGCTACACAAAACATATGGATTAGTCTCATAGACACAATCCTTAGTGAATGAAGCTAGATGCTAAAGACAATGACCTCATATAAATGATCGCATTTATATGAAAGTCAACACAATTAGGCAAAACTAGTCTTTGGTGACCGAGGTTAATTTCTTTTGGTGAGAGTAAAAGCCTAGGAACCGGTATGAGGGAAATTTCTGGGTTTTGGAAGTGTTCTATATCTTGATCTGGGTGGTAGTTACATCGATATCTACACGTATAGAAATTCATTGAGGTGAACATTTAAGATTTGTGCACTTTATGCAATTTATATCTTAATAGCTTTAAAAAAAGGGCAAGGTCTGGAAGACAGTATAATATTTTACTCTTTTTATATAGTTCTAAAATAAGTGCCACTAAATAATAATATTCACATGGGATAAAACAAGAAAGGATGAAAGAAAGAAAGGAGGGAGAGAAGGAAGAAAGGAGGAAGGGAGGAATGGACAGAGAGAGAAAGGATAAACATAAAATTCAAGATGGTGGTTACCTCCAAGGGGACCATTGAAGAGGAATACCAGCTATTTCCTGGGTTGGGTGGTGGTTTTATTAGTGTCTGGTATTTTATTAAAAAGCAATTAATTAGTTTAAAATAAAATATATGAGAGGACGGGGCATGAATCAATGATGACAGGGGGTCATAAACCAGGGGTTATGACTAATCTAATTTTTATCTATGATCATTTCATGGCACACATAAATACCTATCTGCTGATTATTTACTTGACAACATTTCCTAAATTGGTTGAACTTAAGTTAACTCGTGATCCTTCCCTCAGTCTGTCTCCTTCGGATCGTGAAGATTTCTGCCTTTCACTTCCTACTAAATCCACCAGATTAATACTGGATTGTTTGGTGAGCTCTCCGTCGAGGAAAATCTGTAGGAAAGCACTAGTCATGATCTTAGAGTGGTAGCAGGCTACAAAGGAAGTCAATCTAGTTTACCTTTTTTTTTTTTTTTTGGTGAGGGAGATTAGCCCTGAGCTAACATCTGTGCCCATCTTCCTCTACTTTATATGTGGGACGCTGCCACAGCATGGCTTGATAAGTGGTGCGTAGGTCCATGCCAGGATCCGAACCTGCAAACCCCGGGCCACTGAAGTGGAGCACGTGAACCCAACCACTACACCGCCAGGACGACCCCTAGTTTACCTTTTAAAATATTTTTTAAATTGTATTTCACACTCAAAAAAGATATAAAATTTACAAATTAAAATTCCATCCTCTTTACAATCATATTTTACAGTAATACATTACCGGGCCCAAATGTCTCAGTTGCCCCTTCCCTAGTCTGCAAAGCTATTTCCAATGATACACTAGATACCAATTATTGCTCTAGTATTTACATGGTCAATAAATATTTTAAATATAAAATACTGTGAAATCTGCAAAATAAATAACTGTTCGGGATGCTGTGGTCATGTAGAGGAAAGAACACGGATTTTAGAATGTTATTGATTCCCTTGCTTGTTACATTACTGAGAAAATGACAACTTTCAGAGTTTCTTCTCAGTTGTATCTTCTCAGTTGTAATCTTCTCAGTTGTAAAACAGAGATAATAGATAATATTGGGATATTATGAGGGTAAAAGAGAATAGACGTATTGGTTCTAACCATACCTGGCACACAATAACAAGTGTGAGTACTGTTACTGACACCAATAAACGGGGTAGGATTAGATCTCTACACTCATTTTTTTCCAGCTGATTTCTTCTCTTGCCTCTAAAATATCAAGTTAAAACAAATAGCACGGCAAATCATATGTAAAGTTTATGAATTTTACTAACATTGTAAAATCAAGTGAATAGCACTTAAAAGTTGACAAAGTTCTTTAAAATGCAGTATCTTATTTGAGCCTCCCGACATCCCTGTGAGGATAGCTATTCATCTCATTTTACAGAACAGGAAACTCAGACTCAGGAAGAGTAAGTTATTTCTCAAAGTCTCAGAGCTGGTCAGCAAACAGCCAGACATGATCTGATGTTTTCCCGCTGTTCCTGGCTACAGCAGGACAATCTTCATTTATTACTATTTTGTCTATTACTAGTGCTGTGGCTCAGAGGTGATAAAATTATAGCTGTCACGTTTACCTAGGCTTTGTGAATAACCATTTCTGAATCAAACTGGTGATGTTGTAGACATCACTGGCTGATACCTACCAAGGAGGATGGAGGAGAAAAGAGTGCTCTAGTTTATCAGAGATTCTAGTTAGTGGATAGTTACATGGATTATCTGGTTTCAAAGACTTTATCTTGGTACTTGCAAATATTGGAAAGGTACTTCAGTATCTGGTGGTCCCCTAGGGTCATGGATCTGAAAGCTGGTCATCATTCTATTGTTGATGCACAGAAGGGCTACTGAAAGAATTCTCCATGATAAACCACGGAGTCATGCTCAGCTCTCCACAATTTGATCAACTTGGGGTCAAAATTCATTCCTTAGAGCCTGGAATTTACTTGAGGGAAAGCAGCCTTTAGTTCCTTGGGCACTTCTGGGATCTGGTAGACCTTACTACCGCCCACCATTGGTCATGGGCTCACTTAGGCCAGGGTGAGGCATGGACGTAGGGGGAGGGAGGAAAAGAGCAAGCGCCTCACTTTCTCCTGCTTCTGACCCTAGAGTCTATGGTGGGAAGTAGCCACCCTAATCCACAGGTCAAATCTGAAAGGATTCCATCATCTGCACCAGCCCATTATGCTACTGGGCACCCTTCCCATGGACGGCCCTTGGCGGGAGATCGGGACGGTGCAGTCACTAGCACCTCACCTGCTGGAACTGGATGGTGATGACCACATGAGACCGGCTACTGCTGGCGTTCATGTTGGTGGGAGCTGTGGTCCTTATTTTTGTTCCTTGTTCCATCAGCCTTTCAATTTGTGCGTAGTTCTCGCAAGACACTGACTTCAGACCATCCACATAAAGCCCAGCTGTTGGTCTTCCCTTCCCTTTAGCCCTCCAGGTTTCTTGGTTCCAGACAGCAAATCTCTTACCTGTGGAAAAAAGAACAAATAACGTAAACTTCAGGAAGGCAGGGATTTTTGTCTATTTCACTGTTATGTCTCTGCCTAGAATATATTAAGTGCTCAATGAACATTTATTGGATGAATGAATAAAGTTAAATTTTTGTAGGTACTAGACAACCTCATAATCTAGCTAAGAGAGAATCAGGGAAACAGCAGGCAAGAAAATATGAAAACCTATTGTAATGAGTGAAATCAGAAGCACAATTTTTTGTTAGAAATTCATTTTTATTATTTTAAGTACGTACCTAAGGCATTCAACCAGACCATGAACTCCTTTAGGGAGGACCATGTGTTTTTACTGGTAAATCCTAACAACTCCTGACACATAGTAGGCACCCAGTGAATGCTTGTTGAGAGAACAGTGTAACTGGAGAGGGTGACACATAATGTTGAAGACACTGTGTGTAGGGTACCGGGGGAGCTGCTTTTGTGGTGTGATAAAACATTTTAGTAGGTAGCTACAGTCGTCTGACTTTAAACAGGTGCTTCTAAAGCTTTTGTGCTTGAGAACATTGTTCTCTTATTAACGTAAATATTCTCCTAGCAATCTTGTTAACGCTTTTATTTGGTTAGCAACTCCTTTATGGATAATATAAAAATAAATCATCCTAGCCTCTTTACGAATTATCCCAAATTTTGTATTACAAAGTAATGAAGTCTCACTTTCCTAAGAACAGTGATAAATGAAAATAAAAATAATTAGAAGTTAGCAACATTCAAAGTACCTAATGTAAGCAGAGGACTTTTTCCACCCAGGTGAAATGCCACCATCCTGAATCTCCACTTCCAAGGGAAACTTATTCAATCCAAACAGCATTTGCTACAGCCAAACCCAACAAGAGAATATGGATAATTCTTTGGATCTTATTAGTATTGGAGATGTGTGTGATATGACACTTAGACAATGGGCTCAGGTGAAAGCCCGTGTCGCGTCTCTCCACAAAAAGCCACTTCTGACAAAGCAAAGTAGGGTGATGCTATGGGAGCCTGGTGGAGCCAGAGGCCGGACAGGGGGTGGTGGGTGTTACATGGTGTAGAGGGATCTGGGCTGGGAATCAGGAGACCTGCATTCTTAGTCCTGGTTCTGCCTCCAACCTGGGAGCTTTGGAAAGTCTCCTACATTCCCACTTTTCTCCTCGTAATAGGAGGGGGATGGATTCAATGATCTCTGAGATCTCCCCCAGCGCGAGTATTCTGTGGCTTTAAGTCCTAGAGTCAAGGCAAGATCCCAGATTGAAGTTTGGGCACAATTAAGACAGTGGACAGAAGGGCCAGAGATAAGAAGACGTCAAGCAGAGACAACTCTGCCTTATCTAGGAAGCCTTTTCTATAACTTTCACTGAATCATATAAATTGTAGGAGGTGGCATCTCAGGCTGGAGATGTGGCTGAATAAAGCTTATTAGAAAAAAGGTAAGTATGTTTATTCGGATGGGATGGAATTGTGGGGGCCCAGAGTCAAGGGCAGATCCTGGCACCAGGACCTTCCAGGTTGTATCTGGAGATTAAATTGATGGTTCTCACAAGACCTTCATCACTCACCTAGGCTATTTTGACAATCTCCCATCTCTGCCTCTATTTGGTGCTCCTTCAAATCCAACATTTTAGAAATCTTCTAAACTCCCAGTCCGATATCTTATTTCCCTATTTAAAATCCTTCCTTGATCCTCCATTGCCTATGAGACAATGGCCCTTTACTTTTTGGCAATCTACGTTTAGCTTCATCTCCTGATGCTTCCTCCGTATCACCTCCCACCGTGTACCCAACTCTGGCTGCACAGGGCACTCTCTGTTCCCTTAAATGCCACGTACTTTCATATATTCCTGGACTTGTTAAATCCTGCTGCCTGAATGGCCCCTATTTGCATGGGCCCCACCCCTCAACCCTCCTACAGTCTCACCCAACTCATAAACATCTTTCAAGGCCCATTCTAACACCTCTGTTGACAAACAACAGACATCCCAGGCAGCATTAGTTTCTCCCTCTTCTATGGCTTTCTGTTCACCACTCCTGCAGCACATATAATATTTTATTACTGTCTGGAGTGGGTGTTATATCTTCCACCAAACTTCTCCAGGGCAGGAATCGCATCTTAGGTTTATTCATCCTCAGAGTTTAGTATGATGCCTGAAACACTAAAGGTATCTAATACACTTCACTTTAATTGGCCGTTGAAGTACCTAATGGAAAAATACCAGAGACTCATAGAATACAAGACATGAGAAGGTTCTTAGGATGTCTCGTGCTCTTATTTTAGAGATGAGGAAACAGAATTCCAGAGAGATTATTCTCATAAATAGGTATCAGTAGGGGGACCACAATGAGATGCTATTCCTCCCATTCTTCCCCACAAGAACTTGGTAATAAAGGAAATAAAGTTGTTCTCCTAAAGTTATTGGTGTGAAATAAAGGAGCCATACTGTCTTCCAACCTCATCAACTTGAAAGAAACAGAAACTTAATCAGTGACCTTAACACAATAACCCATTTGAATTTATCATCAACCTTCAATGGTAATAAATGATTCAGGGAAACATAAGAAACAAAATGGATATTTTCTCTCTGTAATGTAAAGAGAAAATCATGGACAGATTTATTCCCTTAATAATAGATATTTAGATGTGATTAAGTGCAAGACTTTGGTTAGCACTTGGAGTTACACAAAAACTATTAGGATGTGGTCTCTGCCCACAAGAAACTTACAATTATGAAATCAACAAAGAGTTGGCCATTGATGATTAAGCAGCTAGTAACTACGGGGGATCAGAATTGGCCACCTCAAAATATGTCTCTGCCTGAAAGACACTTTGACCCCCACCCCCACTAACTGACCAAAAGAGTTTGGGATGGGAGGCCTGCCTCCAGAACAGGCCATCACCACAGATATCTCTGGGTATCTGGGAGGGTTCTTGCTAAGCCCACTCTTAGTTCTGGTTACCCTTTGTAAGAGACATTTACATTTGTAAACGAAATCTCCATTTGTAAAAGTATCTTCTTCCCTGTACCAGGAAGAAGGGGGAGATGGCCTTACCTAGAAACTTATCAGAATGGAAGGCAGAAGGTGAGGACTTAAATCTGCCTGATAAACTTACCTATTGTTAACTGTGCTGTTTAGGCAATATGCTATCTGACTCCCACTAAGTTCCTATAGAAAACATCTCCCTGGAACCTGGGTCACCATGATAATGGGTGTTTGAGCTATTTTTTTTCAGGAATTGGAACCCCTTGTCCACTTCAGGCCAGTTGACACCACCAACCCATCAACTGGGCCCACACAGACACATGTCCAATACGCGACTTTTTGACGTCAAGAGGCTAAAAACTCCACCCTCAGGTCATGCTAATGCCGCCATTCTGTGAACATGTGTCCCACGAAGAGGCAGAAAGCCTGACTATGCTTGTGCAGATCATCAATTACCTCATCTCTCCTCACCTCCAATCATTTCAGATCACTTGCCCCCTACCCCATGAATATCCCTGAGTCCCTATTTTCTGGAAGCAGATTTGAGATTCACTCTCCAGTTTCCACACTTGGCTGCCTTGTGGTTAATAAACCCTCTCTTTCTGCAATCTCAAAGCCTTGGTGTTTGGCTTTCTGGGCGGCAGGCAAAAATGGACCTGGTGCCATAATGATTACAGACACCTTCGTCAGTTTATCCATTCAGCAAACATTAGGGAGCACTCATGCTAAACCAAATCCTGCACTAAGTGCAACAAATAGAAAGGTGCTCACAAGGAAATCATTATCTGTTTGGGGCCTATAAATATGTAAATAAAATTTTACAGTATAATAAATGCAAAAGGAAAGGGCAGAATGAAAAAACATTTGCTGAATATCTAGTATTTGCTAGGCATTACATTACAAATTCAAAATTTAGTACATCTTATTGTGTTTCATTCACATCTTATTTTAAATTCTCTACTTTATAAATGAACAGACTGAGCTCTCGGATGGAGTGATTTTCCAAAGTCTCACAGCCAGTAGGTGAGAGAGCTGAGATTTGAAACCAGGCTCTTTCTATTTCTAGGAGAAGGCCAACTATGGCCTTGGGCCCAGGTCAGCCCGCCACCTGTTTTTGTATGATCCTTGAGGTAAGGATGTTTTCCACTTTTTTATTCTTTTGCAGGGAAAGATTCACCCTGAGCTAACACCTGTTGCCAATCTTCCTCTTTTTTTTTTTTTTTCCCTCCCCAAAACCCCAGGGCATGGTTGTGCATCCTAGTTGTAGGTGATTCTAGTTCTTCTATGTGAGCCTCCACCACAGCATGGCTGCCACCACAGTGTGGTTCCGTGACCAGGAAATGAACTCGGGCTGCTGAAGCAGTGAGCACCGAACTTTAACCACTAGACCATCAGGGCTGGCTCTTACATTTTTGAGTGACTGAAAAAAATTAAAAGAAAACTATTTCATGACACGTGATAATCATGTGAAATTCAAGTATCAGCGTCTTTAGGTAAAGTTTTATTGGTCCACAGACCGTTCACCCTCTTATGATCTGTGGCTGCTTTTGTGCTCCAGCAGCAGAGTTGTGTAGCTGCAACAGAGACCGTATGGCCCTCAAGCCTAAAATATTTACTTTATGGCCCTTTGAAGAGAAACCCTTTTACAACACCATTCTGGCTGAAGCCACCTGCCTCAGGATGTACAGAGGGGCTGACATTTGAGCTGGATTTTGAAGGTTACTGGTTTCTTTAAGGGCAGAGAAAGCAAGAAGGGTATTCTAGGCAGAGAAAGATAGATACATGAAAGAATGACGTGCTGGAAAGGAAGATTAGTTCTTTGGCTGAAGCATAGAGTGTGTGGAGATAGAGGAACATAAAATGAAACTGGACCTAGAATGAGGTAGTTAGGGCTGGACAGTCAAAGCCAGGCTAAAGGGTTTAGATTCATCTGTAGGACAAGTGAGGGGGAGCCCCTCATGTTTACTAAGCTGCAGAGGGTCACTCAGATTTGTGTGTCAGAAACATGATCACTGTTACCTGTTCATTGTAAATTTCCAGCATACTGAATGTAACCTGTACAGAAAAGAGCATAAAGTACATTAGATTCTCTTGAAACAGTTATCTTTGGAAAAAAGTAATATGGAAACAACATAAATGTCTAGCAAAGGAAAAGCTAATATTAAATATGATAAAGTTCTATTTCACATGCAATGTGAGATTCTCAAATAATTTTAATGATGTGGAGGAAGTTCTTAATACAAATTAAAAACATACAAAACTGTGTGTATGTGTTTCAGTCTCAGTTGGGAACAGAAGAAGGTGATTCTTCGTTTGCTCACTCTCCCATCTGAACATACGTAGAGAAAAGTACTGGTCTTTACCTTCCCGTGCTTTTGGAATATTGTTGGCCAAGCTTCCACCTCTTAAAAAAGGAGACTGGAGGAATCTGAATGACTCCAGTTTAGAGAAAAGGCTCTAGGATACAGATATTTTCCGCCACCATCCCCCACCCGTGAAAGAGCTGGCTTGTCTGTTAGTCACTCCCTGTGTGTCTTGTCAGTCAAACCTCACATCCGCAAGCTTCCACCTAGCTTCAGAGTGTCTTGTGTTTTAAAAACGAACAAATGGCCAAGGAGTAGCAGACAAGGAAAGTCTCCAATACGAAAGAGAGATCAAAACAAACAAGAGAAAAAAGGAACTCAGAGAAAACAGACAATGCAGAGAGTACAAGACAACATTTTTTAAAAGTCCTGTAATTAATAGCTTCAGAGAGATAAAGAATTATATCCGTGAAAAAACGGGGTGCTGTTAAAAAGGAACAACCAGAGAATAAGAGTGTTTGTAAATTAAACATATAAAAGATATTGAAATAAAAATGTACTAGAAAGATCATAAAACATAGTTGATGAGATCTTCCAGAATGCAGAATAAAAAGACCAAGAAATAGAAAACAAGAAGTAAAAGATAATAAAATTAGAACATTAGTACAAGAGGTCCAAAATATAATGAATAGGAGTTCCAGAAAGGGAAAATATAAAAAACAGAGGGAAGAACATTATAAAAGAAATAGAAATACAAAAGTTTCCAGAATTGAAGGACAGGAATTTCCAGATTGAAAAGCGTCCACTGATGGGTCCAGTATGATGAATGAAAAAAGGCTTACACTCAGGCACATCAGAACATCAGGGATAAAGAGAAGATCATAAAAGCTGAGAGAGAAACTGACCATCAAAAAAGGTAACACGCAAAGAATTGGGAATCAGAATGGCACCAGACTTCTCAGCTGCAACCTTGGAAGTTAAAAGGTAATGGGATAATGTTCTCAATATTCTCAGAGATCTGAATTCTATTCCAGATAAACTTCAGTCAAGTGTAGAGGTTAGAAAAGATATTTTCAGCTGTGCAAGGATGCAAACAATGTACACTTGATGCACATTTTTCTGAGGAAGTTGCAGCAAAAGGAGAGAGTAAACCAAGAAAGGGAATATATTGGATCTAGTAGTCCAAGGAGCCAACAAAGAAGAATGTTGAAATAAGGTTCCGGAATGATGGTTTTGCAGTAGACTTGGAGAAACACTGCTCCAGATTGTGGCAGGAGAATAGACAACTCCTGCTGAAGGAGACCCCCCAAAAAATAATGGAACTGATAAGTTTGAGTCTGTGGAAAATATTATTAATAGGCAAGTGATGGTTATTCAGAGTACTTAGAAAAACATAGATTTGTAGAAAACTAGACACACACACAAGAGGCAATTCAAAACTCGAAGAAAAAGTGTAGAAAGGATGTATGTATTACTTGGTTCAGCAGTGAACAATATTTGCACAGCTAAAATGTTAAACACTACTGATTTAACCAAATTGTATAATAATGCAGGGGGTGTGTGGGAAAAAGTATCGCAATGGGGGGTGTTAGCATGACAGAGTTAAATTTTCTTTTGCTGTGGTGGGAAGAGAGTAGATAATGTGTAAAATTTTTTTTCTAAAAAAAAAGATATGAGACCAGCCTGGCATAGTGGTTAAGTTCAGCATGCTCCACCTCGGCAGCCTGGGTTTGTGGGTTTGGATCCCAGGCGTGGACCTACACCACTCATCAAGCCATGCTGTGGTGATGACCCACATGCAAAATAGAGGAGAACTGGCACAGATGTTAGCTCAGGGCGAATTTCCTTATCCAAAAAAAAAAAAGATAAACCAACATTATTTTAAAATATGGAGATAGAGACTAGGGCAAACAGCTAAAGAGTTGAAGAAGGTCACCTGTGGAGAGTTATGGGGAAGTGTAGGAGGGACAAGCAGGAGACCAGTGGTTTCCATTATAAGCCTTTCAGTACCTTTTTTTTTTTTGATGAGGAAGATTGGCCCTGAGCAAACACCCGATGCCAATCCTCCTCGTTTTGCTGAGGAAGATTGGCCCTGGGCTATCATCCACGCCTATCGTCCTCTACTTTATATGGGACGCCACCACAGCATGGCTTGACAAGCGGTGCATCAGCGTGTGCCCAGGATCTGAACCTGCGAACCCTGGGCTGCCAAAGCGGAGTGCGTGCACTTAACCCCTACGTCACTGGGCTGGCCCCACCACATTTTTTTTGGTGAGGAAGATTAGCCCTGAGCTAACATCCATTGCCAATCCTCCTCTTTTTGCTGAGGAAGATTGGCCCTGGGCTAACATCCATGCCCATCTTCCTCTACTTTATATGTGGGACGCCTGCCACAGCATGGCCTGATAAGCAGTGCATAGGTCCACACCCAGGATCTGAATCTGTGAACAGTGGGCCACTGAAGTGGAGTGTGCGAACTTAACCACTATGCCACTGGGCTGGCCCCTCATTACCACGTTTTAAATAACTCTATTGAGATATGATTCACATACCATACATTTCACCCATTTAAAGTGTACAATCCAACGGTCTTTAGTATATTCACAGAGCTGTGTGACCGTCACAATTAAATTTAGAACATATTGTCTCCCCAAAAAAGAAACCCATTAGCAGTCACTCCCCATTCTCTACCTTCTCCACTCCTCTACCACCCATCCCAGCCCTAGGCAATCACTAATCTACTTTCTGTCTCTATAGATTTCCTATTCTGGTCATTTCACATAAATGGAATAAAAAAATATGTGGTCTTTTGTGTCTGGCTTCTTTTACTTAGCATAATGTTTTTAAGGTCCATCCATGTTGTAGCAGGTATCAGATGCTATGTTCCTTTTTATTGCCTAGTAATATTCCATTGTATGGATATACCACATTGTATTCATCCATTTATCAGTTGATGGACATTCAAGTTGTTCCCACTTTTTGGCCACTGTGAATATGTTGCTGTAGAATATTCATGTACCAGGGTTTGTGTGGCTATAGCCTTTCCTTTCTCTTGCGTATTTGAGTGTTTAAACTATACTTGTATTACTTTGAAAAAATTTTAATTAAAAAATTAGAAATATACTGAAATGTTAATAGTATTTAGTCCGGTGATGAGATTTTGAGTAATTTCTATTTTCTAACTTGAACACATTACTTTTAAAACCAGGAAAAAATTAAGATAAAAAAGATGATGCATTGTTGAATTTTCATAATACAAATTTAATCTCCTCTGCCATTTAAAGGAAGCAGAAACATAGACTATGCTTACAGGTATTTGTTGACATTTTACTGTGTTTTTTTGTTTTTGTTTTTTTTTGCTTGAGGAAGATTAGCCCTGAGCTAACATCTGTGCTAATCTTCCTCTATTTTTTTGTATGTGGGTCACCTCCACAGTGTGGCTGGTGAGTGGAGTAGGTCCAGCACCCAGGATCTGAACCCACAAAGCAGGGCTGCAGAAGTGGAACGCGTGGAACTTTAACCCCTGGGCCACGGAGTCGGGCCCTATTGTCATGTTTTAAAGCTAATTACATTAACGGTTACTCTCCATCTTGAAAGTGTCACCAACCTTCAATGAATCTAAAATTCAGCCTTGGGCCTTCTATGCTAGGGCAAGCGAGAAACTATGCTGAGACAACTAAGAAGCCAAATAACATTCTCTATTTAGAAAAAAAATCAGTGAATTAAGATGAGAACACACCCACAACCTTGGTAGAAGAGGGAAGAAAAGAAAGCCATAGACTTGAGTCAGCTAATGTTCTGTGTTACAAGCCTCAATACTAATCCCTTGTTAGTGTTAGCATTTAAGATGTCTGCTCCCATGCTACTCAACACACATTTTAAAAGTATTTCCTTGGCTTTGCCTCCACAGAACCAGAGAAAATTCAACGTTTTATTTAGCTGCAACTTGATTTTGTAATCATGTAAAGATTTTGGTATGGAAAATTAACATTATCCTAAAATAGAGATGCCTATAACTTCCATTTGGGGTGGGAGATTTCCAAAATGAAAAAAAAATTCCTTAAAGAAGGGATTCTAGAATAATATGTACCTGGTATTCTTGGTTTCTCTCTCGGTTCTCAATTGCTTGAAAGAGCTCTTCACACACATTTGGGATCATACCCTTGTTGGCACCAAACCCAATCATGGAATAGCTTTTTCCAGAGCCAGTCTGGCCATAGGCCAGGAGGGTGGCATTATAGCCTTGCCAAGCACTGTCCAGAATTCCCCGGCCAAGATCATGGAAAACATCTCTCTGGAAAGGAGATGGCAGGGATCATGTTCAGCTCAGGCTTTTCACAATACTCTTAAATCTAAAGTTCGGGTTTAATGAATTCCACCTTCATTATATCATGCGACTGACTTGAAATATAACTCAGATGCTGCCTTAGAACAAATGGAATAAAGCTGGAAACCAAAAAAAGCATTTGTCAATTTGGAATACACTGATCACCGTGGATCTTCAACTAGCTAGTATCCATCAATAATGAATTTATGTAATTTACAAACTGGCCAAAACCTGGGCTAAGTTTTTGAAATTCATAAATTAGACAAAAATTTCAAGGCATCGAGGAACAGAGACAGGTCAAAGCGTTTTCTCCTTTCTCTTTATTCTTTAATCCAAACAGTAACATCACAAAATTCCCACAGTAATTTTAGCCCTGTGCTGGTGAACATGTTACCGCACAAAGGGCACGATCGGCTCACTGCGAGACAAAAGCCAATCCTCAAGAGGCAAGATGGTGGCAGAGAAAAGGCAGTTTGTTACAGCCTGCTAGCAAGAGAGAAGATGGCTGACCAATGTCCAAAAGATCCATCTTAGGGGGGGCACAACATCTTACAGCAGTTATACAGGCCGGTGGGTTACAGGGGAGGGGGTAGGAATGTTGACCCTCTGGTGTTACAGACTGGGAGTCGCCACGCCAGATCTTTCAGTTTTCATTGATGATGGCTGTCAGCATAGACTCTCTGTTCGGGGGTCTTCACATTCCTAAGGAACTCAAAAGAACAAAGTTACCATCTTATCGCAGCTGGGAGGTACATGCACAAGCAGGGGTCGTAAAATCCACAGAGCAGTTAGATCTCCTGGAGGGTGCACATCCAGCTGGGTTAGGTAGGCAGAGGTCATTCAAAGTTACAATAGGGTTTCTTTTCTACAATATGGCTTCCCTCCTGTCAACCTTGTCTTGAGCTGGTATCAAATTCTTTTCTTTTTTCACAAGACCCAGTGGTTCTGAAGCATTTCTCCAACACACATATACATGTGCATCCTTTTTTTTTTTTTTTTTTAAGTGGGAGACACAGATGCTTGTGCCCACAATTGCTTGAAAGAGAGGATGTTGTTTGCCTCTCTTGTTGTCTGGGCCACGGCCATAGCCAGCAATAATTCTCTTATTTCAAAGAGTACATTCCTCTCTACCCTCTAATATCAATAAAACAGTAAGTAAGCATTACACACTCCATTTGTTGCAATATATACATTTGTGTAATTTGTATCATTTTTATTTCTGCGAAAGATGCACATACCAACTTAATGTGATTTACATAAGGACAGTAGACAACCAGTTTTCTTAAATTATTCATTTCTCATGAGAAAAGAATAAAAAATTATTATATTGCAAAGGTTAGGGGAGCTTCAGGTCTAAAATGTGGAATTTAACCGGTGGTCTCCCAGAACACTGTGACCATGCTTTTACCAGAAAAATGTATTTATAGAATGAATATCTACTCTACCTTAGGAGCTATTAGCTTAGTAGAGCAATGAGTTTTGCTGTCTTTTCTTCTCTGTGATAACTGGAAATTTGGGAAAATGATTTTATTGTTAATTTTTATGGATTGAAAACTTTAAACAAGTAATACAGAATTTTATTGAATAAATCCTAGAAAATAGAATCATTCTATAAATTTTGTTGACTGTACAGTTTTTCTGTACAGTTTTCTATTGAAATATCTTTTGGGATCAGTTATTTGTATACTAGATAAGCCAAGACATCATAGAACGACATTTTTAATTTCTTCCTACTCACCATCCTATAACCGACTATATGAAATGTTTTCCTACACTATAGTATGTAATACAATCATTCTGCAGTGTGTTAATAGGTGGTCAACAAAAAATAGGCGGTTATCATCCGCTGGGGATGAGAGGGAAAGCTGTTGACAAAGTTAATCAGGTTTCTTTCCAGCACAATTCTTGCATTCTTTTAAAACTATCTTTTTATAAATTGAGATATAATTGGCATATAACATTGTATTAGTTTTAGGTGTACAACATAATGATTTGATATATGTATATATTGCAAATGATTCCCACAATAAGTTTAGTTAATATCCATCACCTTATATAGTTATAAATTATTTTTTCTTGTGATGAGAACTTTAAAGATCTACTCTCCTAGCAACTTTCAAAATATACAATATAATATGTTTAACTGTAGTCACCATGCTGTACTTTACATCCCCAGGACTTATTTATTTTATAACCGGAAGTTTGTACCTTTTGACCCCCTTCGCCCATTTCACCCACTCTCCATTCCCCACCTCTGGCAACCACAGTCTGTGCTCTGTATCTATGATCTGCTTTTTTTTTTAAAAAAAAATTGAAGTATAGTTGACATACAATATTATATTAGTTTCAGGTGTACAATCTCCTTTTTTTGTTTTTAGATTCCATATATAAATGAGATCATACAGTATTAGTCCTTCTCTATTTGACTTATTTCGAGAGGAAGATTAGACCTGAGCTAACATCCATGCTAATCCTCCTCCTTTTGCTGAGGAAGACCGGCCCTGAGCTAACATCTATTGCTAATCCTCCTCCTTTTTTTTTCCCCTTTTTCTCCCCAAAGCCCCAGTAGATAGTTGTACGTCATAGTTGCACACCCTTCTAGTTGCTGTATGTGGGACGCCGCCTCAGCATGGCCAGACAAACAGTGCGTCAGTGCACACCTGGGATCTGAACCCAGGCCGCCAGTAGCAGTGTGGACTTAACTGCTAAGCCATGGGGCCAGCCCCCAGGATTTTCTTCTTTTTTACAGCTGAACAATATTTTGTTGTATGTGTATACCACAATTTCTTTCTTTCTTTCTTTCTTTTTTTTGCTGGGAAAGATTCACCCTGAGCTAACATCTGTTGCCAATTTTCCTCTCTTTTTTTTTTTCTTTTCTCCCCAAAGCCGCAGTACATTGTTGTATATTCTGGTTGTAAGTCCTTGTAGTTCTTCTATGTGAGCCACTGCCACAGCATGGCTACCAACAGTTGAGTGGTATAGGTCCACACCCAGGAACTGAACCGGGGCCGCCAAAGTGGAGTGCACCGAACTTTAACCACTAGGCCGTCAGGGCTGGCCCTACATACCACAATTTCTTTACTCGTTCAGTCCTCAATGGACACTTAGATTGTTTCCATGTCTTGGCTACTGTAAATAATGCTGCAGTGAACACGGAGGTGCAGATATCTTTTCAACATATCGATTTGGTTTTCTTCAGAAAAATACCCAGAGGTGGAATTGCTGGATCACATGGTAGTTCTATTTTTAATTTTTTGAGGAACATTTATACTGTTTTCCATAGCGGCTGCACCAATTTATGTTGCCACCAACAGTGCACAAGGGTTTCCTTTTCTCCACATCCTCGCCAACACTTATCTCGTCTTTTTGATAACAGCCATTCTGACAATTGTGAGGTGATATCGTATAGTGGTTTTGATTTGCATTTCCCTGATGATTAGTGATGTTGAGCACCTTTTCATGTGCCTGTTGGCTACTTGTATGCTTTTTTTGGAAAAATGTCTATTCAGTTCCTCTGCCCATTTTTTAATTGGATTGTTTGGTATTTTTGCTATTGAGTTGTATGAGTTCTTTATATATTTTGGATACTAACCCCTTATCAGATATGTGACTTGCAAATATTTTCTACCATTTCATAAGTTGCCTTTTCATTTTGTTGATGGTTTCCTTTACGTACAGAAGTTTTTTGGTTTGATGTAGTCCCACTTGTTTATTTTTGCTTTTGGTGTCAAATCCAAAAAATCGTTGCCAAGACTGATGTCTAAGAGCTTATCACCTATGTTTTCTTCTAGGAGCTTTACGGTTTCAGGTCTTATGTTCAAGTCTTTCATCCATTTTGAGTTAATTTTTGTGCGTGGTCTAAAGTAGGGGTCCAGGTTCATTCTTCTGCATGTGGCTGTCCAGTTTTCCCAACACCATTTATTGAACAGACTATCTTTTCCCAGTTGTATGTTTTTGGTTCTTTTGTTGTAAATTAATTGACCATACCTACTTGGGTTTATTTCTCAGCTCTCCAGTCTGTTCCATTGATCTATGTGTCCATTTTTATGCCAATACATTCTATTTTGATTATTATAGCTTTTTAATATAGTTTGAAATCAGAAATCAGCTTTGTTCTTCTTTCTCAAGATTGCTTTGGCTATTTGGTATCTTTTGTGGTTCCATACAAATTTTAGGACTTTTTCTTCTATTTCTGTGAAAAAATGCCACTGGAATTTTTTTTTTTTTTAAAGATTTTATTTATTCATTTTTTCCCCCCAAAGCCCCAGTAGATAGTTGTATGTTGTAGGTTCACATCCTTCTAGTTGCCGTACGCGGGACCCGGCCCCGGGCTGGACGGAGAAGTGGTGCGGCGCGCCCGGGATCCGAACCCGGGCCGCCAGCATCAGAGCGCGTGCACTTAACCGCTAAGCCACGGAGCCGGCCCGACCATTGGAATTTTGATAGAGATTGCATTGAATCTGTTGATTGCTTTAGGTAGTATGGACATTTTAACAATATTAATTCTTGCAAGCCACGAGCATGGAATATCTTTCCATTTACTTGTGTCATCTTCAGTTTCCTTCATCAATGTCATAGTTTTCAGTGTACAGATCTTTCATCTCCTTGGTTAAATTTATTCCTTGGTATTTTATTCTTTTTGAAAAATACTATCTTTATTGAAGTAAAATTAATATTCATTAAATTCATCCATCTAAAGCATACAGTTTCATGAGTTTTGACATATGTATTTGGCCATGTGATGACCACCACAATTAAGATTTTTAAAAAATTTTCATCATTTTGAGAAGTTCCCTTGTGCCACTTTGCACTCAGGCCCCTCCTCCACCTTCAGCCCCTGGCCACTAGTGATTTACTTCCTGTAACTATAGTTTTGTTTTTTCTTGAATTGCCATTTAAGTGGAATTGTACAGTGTGTAGTCTTTTGTATATGGATCCTTTCACTTAGTTCAGTGCTTTGAGATTCA